TTATTTTAGGATTCCCTCTATGCTAGTAATAACTCTATATAAGCACACTTGAAAATTATTTTGTTTACTTGTTTTTGTTTTAACGCTTTGCCAATGAAAGCAGGCAAAGTTCTTATACAATACAGCCTAGTCTGGTGTGAATTTTGTTCAAACTGGAATTTCTTAGAAGAATCTTTAATTCCTGACCTCCTGCAGTAGTATAACTGAAGAAAAATTGTTCAGGATATTAAACTCTCTATTTTTACATATTTTTCATTAATAGACGCAAGAAAAAAATGTGAACAAAATTTGTTTTGGGAGTTTGCCATTATCATTTGTGCAGTGTAGTTATAGACATCTAATTTTTTATAATTACTTAAATCTATAAAATCATCTCAATTATTAAACTCTATTAATTTTCCAAAATACGAGAGATAAAAATGGCCCAAAAAGTGATTAAATTATTTAATCAACAAAATAAGTCAATTATAATAACAAGAAAGCATCCTCAATTGACTTACCATCTCAACATCACTATTTCTAAAAGGAGAAAGGACAAAGTTTGTCCTTCTGCAACGGTTAAATCCAGTTTAGTCAAGAGACACTACACCTCTCTTAGTAATTATATCTACAACAAAATAAACAGGCTGTTATCCATCTATCTCCTACCTAAACACAAATGTAAAAAAATAATATATAAATATAAACTCTACTTTATTTTATTATATAATAATAATATAAATATAAACTCTACTTTATTTTATTTTAAATCAAACGGGATAATATACGCAAAATATTTCATTTTACTAATTCTTCATTAACACATAAAAGTCCACTGCTGGACAGAGTTCATTCATTCATTCATTTGTTACACTCTATAAAAAGTACACTGCTGTAGGTCTCTACCATAGATTGCCATATATATTGCCTTATAATGACCATATTTGCCATAGTTGCCTCGCTTGACAGGCGGCTTGGTAAGCTCTGATTTTCCTCCTTTGCTCCTTATATTGTGTAAAAATACTATGCTTCAAAAATATTTCTGGCATAATAAAAATATAATTTTCTAATTATAAAATATATTAGTAGATTATTAAATAGCCTATTCTTTTAATGTATAAAAAAACAAGATTCCATCGTAAAGCGGATTTCCAACGACAATACGTTAGAAAATAGCCAAGTTGTTTCATAGGTTGGAGTTGGACCCATGTCAATTCATTGAATGTAACCGATCAGAAAGAAGTCGGTCGTTGACAACCGAACCGCTCTGTGCTGGATGCGGTCAAGTGGAAGGACCCTTCAGAATACGTCGCTGTTCCTGTAAATGAAAATTCATATTTTCAGAAATAACAAAAAAACCTAGTTTTCCGTTTTAACAAGTCGTAACAATTCAATCTTAAAATTGAGAAAGGAAAGGTTGTTTTAATATCCACTAGCCTATGTCGTCCCATGAGTATCGGAACATAAAAATGAAATCTGTGATTTTGAACCCGCCTGCCAAGCATGTCAACTATGACAGATATCCTGCAATATGAGGCAATATTTGGGGAATCCTGTGTTCTGCAGTGGGCTTTTAAAGGGTTGTAACGGTAAGTAAGTCATAACATTTTTGTTCTTTTTGGTAATCATTTGAAATAATACGAAATAGATTTCTTAGGTACACAGGGTTTATGAAATTACGATAAAATATTTTTCTGGTTTCGCTGTATTCTGTGAGAGCGAGGGAGAGCTTTTACGCTAGTATTCTGTGAGAGCGTGGTCTCTTTCGTGGTCGTGGTCGTAATTCCACTTTTTGTATATCCACTTACCGTCTTGTGGCCCATAGACATCTACCCTCGATTAAGGACCAAAATGCAGATGCGTTTTTTGGGCCACAGCATCCACTTACATAGATGCCCGCAAGCATGAACGCATGCACACTTAACAAACATCTTTTTAAAACAATACAAGGTGGTCTCTATGGGATTTAAAAATTGTGGACGAATAGTGTGACTTTTAAATATTGCATCCTTTATAACAATATCGAACACATGAGAACAAATAAATATGTTTTCAACTTTCCAACTAATATGACCCCAAAATATTTATTTTTCAATGTACTTTATACGTTGAAGCGAATTTGAGAGCACTGCAAATACCTAAATAGGTAAAAGCTTTCAAATGAGGATTCCCCACGCACAAGCTTTACCTTCGGTTGGTCAAGTAAATGCGGTCGAAGTTTTAAATATATAGTGCCTATTTATTTAAAATACAGACATATGTTAAAAAATCTCCCTTTTCCGTTTCGTTGATCATGCCTTATTGTGCCATTTATTTCGCTGGGTAAATGGATAAATCAAAATATAAAACATTTATAATCGTTATAAGATGAATAAATTTTCTTACGTGGTAGAGCCATGCTGCAGTTATATTAGTAGTATAGTTGTAGCACGAATGGGTCGGCTTGACCGGGGAAGGACGCTCTCACAGAATACCAGCGTGAAATGGTAGCTTGATGCTGCTGTGTTTCGTATGGTGAGTGTAGAAAACCGGAGACCCTTTTTACTGGAAATGAGGCATTCCATCTTAGTCCTCACGGGTGACAACGCATCTGCATTTTGATTTGTAATCGAAGACAAATGTAGATGTCTATGCTACAGCAACCACTTACCATCAGATGGACTGTGTGCTCGTTTGTCACCCTATCCTATAAAAAAAATGAAAATGTCATATCGTGACCGTTACACTATGTGACTTATCGTTAATTTTACTAATGTTTTTAGTTTTCTAGAAGCGTTAAAGAATGTACGATATTATGTTGACTAATCTTTCAGAAGTAACAACAAATATGTTGTCTTCATCATGTAGTATCAATATAATTTCTTATTCTAATGTTATAATTTAAGACTCTTTTTTTATAAATGGAGTGTATTTTATCAATCGTGTCAATTTACTAAGTAAGTACATTAACTTCCATTTGTCGATGCGGTAGTGGTGTAAGAATATCCATTACCCTATATCGTTCCTTTGCGTGTCGCGGCGAAGGAGGGAAAACGCAACATCAGACGAGCAACAGAATCTTCCTGATAACAAGTAAAGAATTAAAAACTGCAGATGCCAATCCGCATACCAAGCGTGGTAACTGTGGCATGATGTCCGCTGTAAGGAAATCTTTTGGGTTCAGTTCAGCAGTGAATTTTTTAAACTGTAATGGATGAATGGATGAAGTCTTAAAAAAATAATTTTCTTTAATCTTGACTGTGTGGTGAACAAAATTTCAACGAATATTTTCGCTGTTCAATTTTATTTCGGCTACATTGCTAATCCATAGGTGGGTTCCGTCCGGATTCCAGCCTTAAAAGAAGGTTAATTACTTGAAAAACTTGCAAAATTTGTTTTATACTAACGAACCTAAAAATAAAAAGGTGCCAGTTTATTCTAAGTTTATTGTGGAATAAAATTTACATAATGCGCGAATCAGTCTTAATCAAAGCGTCTACGTCTCTAGAACACTGCTGCAGAATGAGGTCTCAATCCAATTGATTGACTATTATTTTTAGAAATTGGTTTTACAAAACCTTTATCACATCCTTTGTCATACATATTTTCGCATTATATCGCAGAGCGAGCGGTGGAAAGAGCTATGTATGGAGTATCTCTGATTGATAAAATTATTATTTAAGAAATCCACCGTAGAATCAAGATTACTGACATATTCTTCCGTAGAAATAGGCAGGTCATATCTGACGAAGAAAAGACAACCAGTGGAGTAGACGTAAGAAGTGGAGACCGCGTCCCGCTAACGTAGTGTAAGACTCACCCTAGTAAAAACTATAAGCGTGTAGCCGAAGATCAGGCCAAGTGGCGCGCTTTGGGAGAGTCTTATGTCCAGCAGTGGATGATGACGATGGTACATATTTTGAATTAAATAATTAATATTTTTAAGATAATTAGGTACATTTAGTAAATATATGTTTACATTTTAAGTCCTAAGTGGTAATAAACTTAGTCAAGAATAAGTAAAAGGACAGGATATCTAAACTACCTATAAATGGAACATTTTTTTTAAATCAGGTGGCCTGTCATTTAGTAATACCTGCCTGCGAGGAATCGACTCGATTAGTGCCCGCAATTTTGAAAGAAACCTAACATTTATTGACTTTAAATTCTTTAAAACAATAAATTTGTTTAACTTTAATACTAGTCTTCGCGACAAAGTTGCATTAACTGTAAATTTAATTAAATTCGCTCACAGCGAGATTCAAGCGGGAAATGTTTAAGTATAATGTCTCTGATGTTTTACCATGCGGAACGGTAAACTTTAAATTCGTTATTTATTACATTAAAAATGATAAAATATTTTCTTAGAAAATCCAAAAGTGCACGACTGATATTGCTCATATGATCGTGAAAAACGTAAAAAAAATTCTCAATCAAAAATAGAAAATATTTTTTTTTTAATTTCACTATGTTAATATTATTGAGATTCAAAAAATATTATTGTTAATTGAAAAAAACTTTTAACAGAATTGTCTTAAAACGATCAGAAATTAACTTTAATATTACCTTAATTTTTAGGGATTTGCACTCGGGCATTATCGTAAAAACTAGTCCTTTTTTCCTGACTCGTTAATATTTTTTCTCATCAATTTTATTTCGTTTTCAAAAAAAAAAAATCATCCAGTCATAACCAGTATTTTAATTCTGTACCAAGACTCCATTTTCGACGAAATTGAGGTTTCTACACAATCCTATGTTATTTGCTCCGCTCTTTACAGGCATAAAACAGTAACTGGGCAAAGCCAAGTACTTTTTAATATTTTAAATTTTATTATACTGTATATCTCAAACTATCTTTAAAGCATAACAGGGTAAAGGACCATAAACTAAAAATAGTCTTCACAATCACGTGTATTTTACTGTAAGTGCGGAGTTACATTATTCTGCCGCTAACTGCATCGATGCCGCGAAGCTAGGCGCGGTTTGCCTATAAATAGATCGCGTGAGATACAGTGTTTTATTTCGCTTCTCGCGTTCGTCTAATGCACACGTATGCCAATTTTTATGTAGCGCTTACAATAAAACATCGAAAATGTGCAGTAATCGAACGAGAAAAAATATTACAGCTTCTGCAGCCGATTCCAGATGGTAAGTTTAGATAGTTCAGAAGTAATGTTTTATTTATTCATATTAATATATAATACATTTCTTACAAATAATATACCTATGTATTTTTAGAGTCGCTAACCACAGACGAGCAGTTAAATTCACAAACTTTAAGACTGGTTTCAATTGGTAAGTTTTTATTTTTTTTAAGTTTCAATTATTATAATATATATAAAATTATACATTTGTATTTCTAATATGTTTATTATTTGTTTACGCTGCAGGTCGCGGGTTTGAGTCCCGCACGCGGATGAAGTTCTTCTTATAGAATTTATTTAAAAATTTATCAGTAATCTTCTAACCTGTTGATTCATGTTAAAATAAAAAAAGTCATAACTCCTAACTGCTTTCAATTGGTAAATTGGAAGAAGTTGGAAGTTATGACTATTTTCAGTAGATTTTGTGAGGAAAGTGAACAGATAAACCTTTATTATTTAGTAGTGACGAATTTTCAAACTTAGTAACTATCTAGTAATACTTATATTATAATACTTAACGAAGTCAAATCTTTATATTTTTTTAGAAACAGTAATTAGAGAAGAGCGCTGTTCGTCACCTTTAACAAAAGAACAGCTGCAATTTTTTGAAAACCATGCAAATGAAGAAAACTTCCAATATTGCTTGAGAGAACTATCACGAGAGTCGCCAGTAAGCATGTTAAGCCGAGAAGATAGTCCTTCTGTTTTGCACTCCCGAGAAAGTAGCCATTCTCTTTTGAATTCACAAGAAAATGACCCGTACGAGACAGATGCAGACTCAAGTAGCAACTGGTCACCCTCCCCGCGCGTCCGAAAAAATCCTCGATTGACTGTTATAAGTTCAACATCAGATTCGTCTGAATCTAATGTCGATGAAAACGTAAACAACAAGAGAAAATCAAGAAAACGTTTACCTGATCAAAAAAACTGGAAACGTGAAATAGCGAAAACAAAAAGATTAGCGGGAGAAAGGTATGTTAGCGCAGTTTCAAAAACAAAAAAAATAATCGAGAAGAGGAAAATGAAGGAAGCTTGCCCGAATACTTGTAAACTAAAATGCTTTGAAAAAATTTCATATGATAATAGGATAAAACACTTTGAGTCATTTTGGAAAACCACCACAAATTGGGAACAAAGAAGACAGTTTGCAGCTTCATCTATTGACTTAATATAGTATAGAGTGCCCCGGCCCAGAGATGGAAACAGTATTCCATGTGAAGTAGAACCTGCACCTTGTAAAATTACGGGTGCTGTACCGGCATGGAATCCGGTCCTTCTCTTCGAAGTGATAACGAAACTGCACATCATTCGATATGTCGGCTTCGAGAATTCCGACACTGGCTGAGGCAGCAGGAAAAGCGCTTTAAAAACTGAGGAGATACGCCAAAGCTGTACTTTTACGCGCAAACTTATGTCTTCTGTGGATTGAACTGGCCTAGATTTAGTCGCCTTTAATACGAGACCTTGTTCAGCAAAGAGTCGACTTCAGACACAAGCTTGTTTTGGTACTCGGCGACTTTTTCCCGAGATATTCCGCACGGCCGGTGTATAGAGCATCACGAGTGCTGTCATCCACATAACAATAAATGTTACCAATTTTCAACATAACATGACCTATTTTATCAGACTTTAACGACTGAAATCTCAACGGAGACCATGTCCGTAATTTAATTTTGTAAAATTTTATACTATTATTTATTCTGTGCTCAGTCATACTCGAACGAACACAGGCTTTTAAATAATTAAAATGAAAATGTTAAAATTTGAAGTAGGGTAGTAGGACAAACATCTGATAGTATTTAGAATTAATGTACCCCACATTTTTATTACAATTGTTTCCATAGCGATGATTAGCTGGGGCAGACAGACAGGCAAATAACCCTCTCAGCACAATTTAAGGCAGTTTTTTCATTACTACAGACAGACACTTCTATTTTATTTATATGTTTGGGTTAAAGAGGGAATTATTCTAGGTTTTATGGTACACTAAACGTTAAAATACTATAATACCATAAAAAAGAAAGAGTTCTGTTTATGAATTACTTAATCTTAATAGACAAAAGCGTTCAGTATCGGGTTTAAATTCAGTGGATGAGTGAAGCCGCGGTATAGCGTGTGTATGAAGATTGCCTACTTCTTGAAGTGAGCTACCATTAAAACCTACTACAAATCGCCGAAGAAAATTAGTCAATTTTTACCATCCGTCAAGTGTCATATCCCTCTACAAGATCCATAAGTGTAATAGCTTGATTGTGAATATGGCCTCTCTATCATAGGACAAACAAAAAAATTTATAAAAACCCGCGTAAAAGAACATGTAGCTTACGTGAAGCACCAACGCTCTAGGAAGTCTGCAGTCTGTGAGAATGCTCAAGATCGTCCCCGCCATTACATTATATTTAATGGACCACAAATCCCCGCAAAAGAACACCGATTCCTACCAAAAATGATTCGCGACACTATTGTAATTCGAAAAACTTTCTAATTTCAAACAGAAAATGGATGAGTGCTAACATCTGCTTGGATTCTTAAAATTAATATTCAAAAACTGAATGTATCTGGATTCATTATCACATCGGCTGATCTTATCTTACGTAACCCTATCTTACGTAAATACCTATGTCAAACAATTACGTAAGATAAGGTTACCTGCTAACCTTATCTTACGTAATTGTTTGACATAGGTATTTGACGTTCAGGTTATTCCAGCGAAATTTCATATATGGCATAGAGTAAGTGTATTCTCTAGGATGTTCACTTACCAGGACTTTGAAGTGGTGGTGCGGTGTGTGGGGTCTCAAAGTTATAGAATATCTTTCATTATTTTATTTTTTTATTTATATTTAGCCTTTTTATTCAGATCAAAAATTACATAAAAGGAGAAGTACATGCAAAGCTTAATACTACTATTATCCTTAATCTAGTCTTTTATTTGAGGTTTTCTTATTTTTTGAAGATCTGTTTGCCAGTCGGCAAAGGCCTCCTCCAACCTTTTCCACTCACGTCTTTCTTGAGCCACCCTGTTCCATGTTACGCCTGCCACTTGCCTGATGTCATCATCCCACTTTTTTTGTGGTCTCCCTCTTTTCCTTTTTCCTTCTCTTGGATACCATTGCGTCACATTTTTGCTCCATTTATCTCTTCCTCTTATCATGTGCCCCGCCCATCGCCACTTCAGTCTTCTAATTTTGTGCGTTATGTCTGTAACCTTTGTTTTGCTTCTTATTACACAGTTTCTCAGTCGGTCCGATTTTTTCACATTCATCATGCTTCTTTCCATTGCGTGCTGGCATGTTGCAAGTTTGTTAGTCAGGTTTTGTGACAAGGTCCATGTTTGACTGCCGTACATGAGAACTGGCAGTATGCACGTGTTAAAAAGTTTGCTTTTTTATATTAATATGCTGATTTTTATCCTTCATAATCTCTTTCAAAGTCCAGTACCTTTTCCAGGCGTTGGTTATTCTTCTTTCAGCTTCTTTGCGCATGGGGTTATCATTCGTTATTAGTTGTCCCAGATAAACATATTCTTCCGCATACTCGATTTGATTACTCCCTAAGTTTATAGCTGTTCTCTCTCCATTGGTCAGCACCCTAGTTTTTTCTGGGTTCAGTTGTAAACCCACCTTCTTGCTTTCCATTGCTAAGTCGTTTATCATTTTTGTTAAATCTTCGGGAGTTTTTGCAAATAGCACAATGTCATCCGCGAATCTCAGATGAGTTAGTGAACGACCATCTACGTTAATACCGAGATTTTCCCAATGAAGACCTCTGAATATTGACTCAAGCACCGCCGAGAATAATTTTGGTGACAGAGGGTCTCCTTGTCGTACGCCTTTGCCGATTTTGAAACATTCGCCTTTCTTTTCCAGTTGTATTCTCGCTGTACTCTTGTTGTAAACGTTTTTAATTAAGCGGATATACTTGTGATCAATTCCTTGTTCTTTTAATGACTCCCATATCTTTGCGTGAAATAAAGAATCGAACGCCTTGCTGTAGTCGATGAATCCAATATAGTAGGTCAGTTGGTATTCTTTATACTTCTCCATAACTTGGCGTACTACGTGAATGTGGTCGAGCACTGAGTAGTCTTTACGAAAACCCGCCTGCTCAATGGGTTGGTGTTCGTCTAATGTTTTCTCAATCCGATTTAGTAAGATCTTAGCAAATACTTTATATAAATTGGACATTAGGCTGATGGGGCGATAGTTCCCGATTTCATATTTGTCTCCTTTTTTATATAGAAGAATAATGTTTGATTGTGTCCATTGCTGTGGGATAATTTCGGTGGTTAGTATCTCGTTGAATATGTCAATAAGGACTGGTGCTATAACTTCTTTACTTTCTTTTAAGATTTCATTGTTTATGCCATCTGGTCCTGGTGCCTTGTCTTTCTTTTGGCTATCTATAGCATTTATTACTTCACTCATAAGGATGTTAGGGACGTTTGAGGTTTCCTCTAAGTCGTCTTCGTCTTGAGCGATGTTGTGTTCGTATATCTTTCTGTAATAAGATGTGGCAATTTGTAAGATGTTTTTTCTGTGGTGGCTGTATTCTCCGCTGAGGTTTTTAATTTTTGCGATCCAGTCTTTTGAGTTTGTTAATTCTTTGTTAGCTTTTTTAACACCTCCTGTTTTGATTACATGTTTTTCGATAATTTCCATTCTTCTTCTTTTGCTGTCTTTTCTTATGCTTTCATTGATGTCTTTACTGATTTTCGCTATGTGCTTTCTTCTGTCGTTTATATCTTTTGTGTTGATTAGCTGGTTTCTTTGTTCTAGCAATTTTATAGTACTAGTTGATAACACGTTCCTGGGATCAGGTTTTATCTTATTAATATGTTGTAGTTGAACTTTAATAGTAGTCTCTATCCAGTTATATTTTTCCTGAGTTCCTGCTATCTTTGCGTACTCTTCTAGGTCTGTAAATTTGTCCTTTAGGGTGAGTACTAGTTGCTCGTTTTGTTGCTTGCTGAGCTTGATAGTTGGTAGTTCCTGCCTCGGTCTAGAGTTTTTCGGTTGTACTGATTTTATTTCAGCTCGAATTAGTCTGTGGTTGGTATTGAAGTTGAGCTTGTTGATGACATCAAAATTTGTAAAGCAGTTGTTTCTGTTAGTAATCATGTAATCAATTTGGTTCTTTGTTTTCCCATCTGGTGAAACCCATGTCCACATCTTCTTTTTTGTTTTTCTTGTATACTGAGTTTAAAATAGTTAGGTTATTTTCTAGTGTGAAGTTTATAAGTTTTTCTCCATTTCTGCTCCTTCCTTTATTTCTGTAGATGAATGGTCCTAGTGTTGTTTCTTCACCCGGGCGCCTAGTTCCAATTTGGCCGTTGAAGTCACCCATGATGATTAAGTTTTTGTGGGCCTGTTCTTGGATAGTGTTATTTAGATCGAGGTAGAATTTATCTATGGTTTCTAAGTCAGATTGTTCTGTTGGTGAATATATTTGTAAAATAGACCAAGGATCTTTATATCCCGGTAGTTTCAGGTTCATCATTGCTATGCGTTCCGAAATTCCGATAAATCCTTCAATAGATTTTTCAAGATATTTTTTGACGATGAAACCAACGCCATGAAGGCCTGGCGTCGTTCCTATATGATACATTAAGAAGTCTGGTTCCGAGGTAATTTTTTCTCCCATTCGTCTTACTTCACTGAGGCCGAGGATATCCCATTTAATTTGTTTTAACGCATTATTTAATTCTATAAGATTTTCTTCATTTTTCAGTGTGCGCACGTTGAGGGCTGCGACGTAAATGTTTGTTTCTTTGTAGTTGCTTCTCTGTGTTGTTGAAGGGTTATGGTCTTTGTCCCCCACGAGGACCAGTCGGCTTGGGGGGAAGATGTGTTATTTCTGTTTGTTTGCTTTCATAGTTTGTTTGGGTTTTCCGTTTCTCGTTTAATTGCTAGTGTTTATTGGGTATAGGTTTGTTTGTCAGAGAGTTTGATCTAGGTCTTGTTGCATCGAAGGCATGCATCCTGTTATTTTTAGCAAAGTTTAGGGTAAGTTGTTTTTTAGGTTGAGTTTTGGATGGTGACGGTGAGGTAGTTGGCTCCCTTTTCCTTTTTTCTGCGTTGAGTTCTTTGACTACTAGTTTGTCGTAATTCAAAAAAGCTATATTTCCTTTCTCTCTCTCTTCTTTTAACCGTGGTAGCAGTGCTTTCCTTTTCT